TACCACGGGTGCGAGTACTACAGACACTGGTCAGTGATAGGCCGGGGAGGGAACATGTGCCTGCCTGCCACCAGATTCCGACACTCGTCTTGATTCAATCTCGGCCAAGTCTGACCAGAAAACCTTTTTCATCTCTATAAAAATGTCGCTTCACTTAAGTACCAATGTAAAAAAAATGAATGTGCCCGTTCACAGTAATACAGCCAGACCCTCGTTAAGTTAATCGTCGTAGTAGACTGTCATAAGAGTTTGTGTTAATTCTTAAGTGGGGACAGCGTCTGCCTGACGAATAACTCTAAGGGTTCTCTCCACTAAGGTTGTCTCAAGCCGAGGTCCGGAGCTGCGCCCTTGCCGTGCCGTTATCTTGTGCGCTGTTCGATTCAACATGGCTCCAATTTTTCCTTATTGCTAAAAAAACAAATGCGATTTGAACGGCAAGACTGAACCTATATCTTCACTGAGGTCCATTCCCACTCACAAGGAGGAGGGCAGAAGAGATGCCTTATTCTAATAATAATTTGGGCTGATAAACCGCAGCAAAAGTCATGTGTTGTGGTAAAGGTTAAGCACAGAGGCACATTCGTTAATGCCCTTGCAAAGCTCAGTACTCTACAGAATTTGTAACAACAAACGGGAGGATCTGTGGAGGAAAAGCCTTAGTTAGGAAGCTCTTGATTGCCAGGTTAAGAAGTGAAGGTGTTAGTGAGATGAAGGGCGTGAGAGCACCAGAGGATGCGTCCAAGTGTAAGCCAAGAGTAAGACGAGAAGTAAGGCGTTGAAAGAGAGGAAGTAGGAGTTTGACCAGTGTCAGGGTGCATGGGGGAAGTGTTTACGTCGTGTTCACTGCTGCACCGCCTTCACATCCGTTACCTTCACCGAGTGTATTAAACGCCCGTAACTGAGCATTTTCTGGTCGGATAGATCATGAAATTTAATATTGTTTATCATGTGAAATATATGTTGTCAACTCTTTCAATTATCACAAAGAAACTGCTTACTACAGAAGTGGTTGTGGTAAAAGACGATGTGTGCTGGTGGCGGTGAGTTGGCGGGCTTCACTGAGGCGACGCAAACACGCGGCGGTCTGAAGCTTTTGTCCAACACACTCACACACAAAAGTTCTGTTCTACACTGAAGGTTACCTAAGTAGAGTGTGCGTGATCGTTTGATGTAGTTCTCTTAATGATTAGCGTTACTTGTGATGCCAATTCATTTTTGTTTTGTTTTACTCTCTGAAGCTTATTGAAGTAAAAGCGTTACTTGTTGGGTCTGGTGTAAGACATCTTTTGCCTCTGCTGCCGAGCGTAAGCGAGAGGCTTGGCTGGTGCAAAGCGCGATCTGACTTGTTCCCGTGAGAAGATGTGACTCCTACATGCTCAGTTCTCATACCGTGGAGTCTCTTTTACTGAAACTGCTTCCGAAAATAACATCAAGAGTTGGTCCATTCACTCACGGTGATGTAATACTGACTAATTTGAACACTGCAGAACACTGACTCCTTCTACGTCACCTGCAAGACTTTCTACTCTTCAGGATCCTGAGTTGAATTCAGTTCCCAAATTGGGTTAGTTTACTTTACATAAAGCTTTGTTATCATGTGTTATATAGAATTATATTAAGAAGGTTAAGTGAGATTAAGTGTACGTTAGACTGGGTCAGGTTTAACGAGGTTAGATTAGGTTAGGTACAGTAAATTTACCGAGTCTTGTGAACAACAGCCAAATTTGGGTCTGAATCCGAGTCTGGTTCCTCACTCTAGAGGAACCTTCCTTCCCCGGCGTACACCACCACCTCCCTCACCATCATGCTGGGGGAGAAATGTTACATGTGATTATGTGTATTTTGTCTTACGTACATGACGTAAGGCTGTATCCCACATGATGGTTAAGTGAGACTCTTGGTGTACACGGTGATGACGTCATCATGTGATATACCTTCACACCTTCTAGTAACGTGATTGACTCTCTTCATAAGTGCTCTACCATATTGTCTCTTTTATAATACTTTTAAATATACATATATATATATATATATATATATATATATATATATATATATATATATATATATATATATATATATATATATATATATATATATATATACATACACACACTACACACACGCACACAATGAAAAAAACTAACACATATTCCCAAATATATTGTAAATCTGCGATGAATTAATTATCAGTCAATAAATATGGCGTATTGTTGTTGCTGAAATACAGTATTACCGTCAGCGCTGCACCAGTAAGATATATATATATATATATATATATATATATATATATATATATATATATATATATATATATATATATAGAGAGAGAGAGAGAGAGAGAGAGAGAGAGAGAGAGAGAGAGAGAGAGAGAGAGAGAGAGAGAGAGAGAGAGAGAGAGAGAGAGAGAGAGAGGTAGACCCTGTCTTATAACGAACGCCGTCGGTCATTTCTCAGAGAATATGGCATCATTTTCGCTCCATCTGTCGACTGAAGTCTCTTAAAATTACAGTATAGGGCACACACTATGTCATGCATGTACTGGAAACCACACACAAAGATGTCTGAAAGGCAGTTGAACTGACAAAGCACCAAGTCTCGTGCATCATGCAATCTGAGGTTACAGTCAGACCAGGTCTTATCTGATGGGTACCACACACATACCAGGGTGACTGACAGTACCACAACACCAGGGTGAGTGACAGTACCACAACACCAGGGTGAGTGACAGTACCACAACACCAGGGTGACTGACAGTACCACAACACCAGGGTGACTGACAGTACCACAACACCAGGGTGAGTAACAGTACCCCAACACCAGGGTGAGTGACAGTACCAACACCAGGGTGAGTGACAGTACCACAACACCAGGGTGACTGACAGTACCAGTACCACAACACCAGGGTGACTGACAGTACCACAACACCAGGGTGACTGACAGCACACATGCAACACCAGGTGACTGACAGTACCACAACACCAGGGGTGAGTGACAGTACCACAACACCAGGGTGACTGGACAGTACAGTACCACAACACTAGGGAATGACAGTACCACAACACCAGGGTGACTGACAGTACCACAACACCAGGGGTGAGTGACAGTACCACAACACCAGGGTGACTGACAGTACCACAACACCAGGGTGACTGACAGTACCACAACACTAGGGTGAGTGACAGTACCACAACACCAGGGGTGAGTGGCAGTACCACAACACCAGGGTGAGTGACAGTACCCACAACACCAGGTGACTGGGATAGTACCTCAACACCAGGGTGAGTGACAGTACAGTACCACAACACCAGGGTGAGTGACAGTACCACAACACCAGGGTGACTGACAGTACCACAACACCAGGGTGAGTGACAGTACCACAACACCAGGGTGAGACAGTACCACAACACCAGGGGTGAGTGACAGTACCACAACACCAGGGGTGAGTGACAGTACCACAACACCAGGGGTGAGTGGCAGTACTACAACACCAGGTGAGCACAGTACCCCAACACCCAGGGTGTGAGTGACACACCAGTACCACAACACCAGGGTGAGTGACAGTACCACAACACCAGGGTGACTGACAGTACCACAACACCAGGGTGAGTGGCAGTACTACAACACCAGGTGAGTAACAGTACCAACACCAGGGTGAGTGACAGTACCCCCAACACCAGGGTGAGTGACAGTACCACAACACCAGGGTGAGGACAGTACCCCAACACCAGGGTGAGTGACAGTACCACAACACTAGGGTGAGTAACAGTATCCCAACACCAGGGTGAGTGACAGCCACAACACCAGGGTGAGTGACAGTACCACAACACCAGGGTGAGTAACAGTACCCCAACACCAGGGTGAGTGACAGTACCACAACACCAGGGTGAGTGGCAGTACTACAACACCAGGGTGAGTAACAGTACCCCAACACCAGGGTGAGTGACAGTACCAGTACCACAACACCAGGGTGAGTGACAGTACCAGTACCACAACACTTAAGTACCAGACGATCGTAACAGTCGTGCCAACCACTGCTTCTAGTACTAGGCACCTGTGACTGTGTTCAAGGACTACCTCTTTTACCAGGCACTAGTATCAAGGACGACCCATAGTACCTGGGATGAACTTCAATACCAAGGACGAACACTAGTACCAGGTACAACCACTATTACCAAATACCCCGAGTACCAGGGACGACTACCAATTCGAAGGACGACCCACTGTACCAGGGACGACCATCAGTACCAAGGATGACATAGACTAATTGGCCCAGTCCCTTGTACCATAGATAACTACTAGTACCAGAGATAACTACTAGTACTGGAGATAACTACTAGTACCAGAGATAACTACTAGTACCAGAGATAACTACTAGTACCAGAGATAACTATGAGTACCAGAGATAACTACGAGTACCAGAGATAACTACTAGTACCAGAGATAACTACAAGTACCAGAGATAACTACGAGTACCAGAGATAACTACTAGTACCAGAGATAACTACTAGTACCAGAGATAACTACTAGTACCAGAGATAACTACTAGTACCAGAGATAACTACTAGTACCAGAGACTAGTACCAGAGATAACTACGAGTACCAGAGATAACTACGATAACTACAAGTACCAGAGATAACTACGAGTACCAGAGATAACTACTAGTACCAGAGATAACTACTAGTACCAGAGATAACTACTAGTACCAGAGATAACTACTAGTACCAGAGATAACTACTAGTACCAGAGATAACTACTAGTACCAGAGATAACTACGAGTACCAGAGATAACTACGAGTACCAGAGATAACTACTAGTACCAGAGATAACTACTAGTACCGGGAGTACCACAGACAATCGCTAGTTCTAAGGATGACCTATAGTGCCAAGGGTGACCTCTGGCACTGAAGACTGGCCCTGGCACTACAAAATGACCGCTCGCTCAGCAGGACAACAACAGCGTGGCTCACGTCTGGTACTCGACCTCACAGTCTGCATGAAAAAAAAAGTCGGGCGTGAGGGAAATGGAAGCCATCTGGCAAGTAGTTTGCACCGCCATGCCGATACTCTCAACACCACTGACTAAGGGGCAGCGCAGACCGTGGCTCCCCGTCTTGATCTGTCGACGACAAGGACGGGGCGCCACCGTCCGCACCCCCACTGACTACAAGCTCTTGGCAGTTATCTAGTGATAAAATTCGACATCTCCACAGAGAGATAATATATTTAAATAAAAGTTCGTGGCAGTGATTTGTAACACGAGTTGCATAAGTCCCGCAAATGGCCTCGTCCCGTAGGCGGCGGCCGAGGGCGGCGCTGAGCCACAGTGTGAGGTGTGCCGGGTCACAGTCACGTGCGGAGGCCTCTGACCACTGGTGAAGAGAGCCTCGCTACCCGGGGGACTTGGTGACACAGTGATGACTGCATCTTGGCCACTAGAGGATCAGGGGGCTGGTGACGTCATGCCCGCAACAAGGGTGAGGTTTTAGGGCTTCAGCTGATGTCCTCAGGGCTGCAACTAGTGCTATTTTTTTGGCCTTTAACGCAAAGATATCAGGGCCTTATCTATTGTCAACTTGCCTCAAGCAGCCAGCATCAGCAGGGCCCTGGACGGTGTTGTTCACGGACCCTCGAGGGTTAACAGCAATTATCAACATATAGACCAAAGACATCAGTGCCTCGGCTGGCGTCAGCAAGTGACTTCAGGACTTAATAATCCAATGAAGAATCCTGACCGGGAGCTTGGCCTCCTGGCCTTAGCTAGGAGCGTGAGGACCTCAGCTGGATGCCGTTCCGGTCTCGTCCTTGTCCTCCTCGGTCTCGGTCTCTGGGTCGAGGCCGCGGGTGGCAGTGAGGGTTGACGCCGCCTCCGACACCCCAGCTGGGAGAGAGTTGGTCGGGGCGGCGGTGGTGGATGGCGGGGATGTGATGGAAGAGGTGGGCGTGGAGGTGGTGGAGGTAGAGCCTGGAGCGGAGGGCCCACTAGCTGCTCCGCCCCCTGCCTCCCCCCCACTGGCGGTGGTTGTGGTCATGGCGCCCAGGACTAGCTTGGAGCGGAGGTTAACAGGAGGATTCGGGGAGGAGTCGCTCTCTGAGCCCGGGGACTGGCTGGTGGGCGTGGTCCGCGGTGTGGTCCGGGGTGTGGTCATGCGGGAGCCGGGGCCCCCGACTTTCCGCCTCCCCGAGTCCAGATGTGAAGGCCGCGCACTCCGAGCACTCGCTGCTTCCGCTTCCCGAGCTGTCTGGAACAAACAGTGTAACAGAACCTGCAAAAACTCACACAACATCTACACTCTTATAAAGCTACAGTAAGTCACCAGCCGCGCCCTCGTCAAACTCACTCAATGTTGTTTATGAAACTGAACAAGTGAGGAGGATATTGAAGCATCATGTTGTCAATAAGTTATCAAAACACAAGATATAATGATAATATTACAAAATATTTCAACTCAAATTTCACAATGATCAAAATTATATCAGAAAAAACAAAACATAATTAGTTAGAATATAAACAAATAATTTATGATTAAAAAATATTGCTACGCTACTGCTATATTAGAAAAGCATATCAGAAAAAAATAATGAAGGAAAAACTTTCAATATAAAACACACAGGAGACACTGAGGAGATAAAGGCATATATACAGTTGTTGGTAAAGCAGCAACTACTTAAGAGTACACACCATCAGAGTCTGAGGTCTTAACTACCAGCTGAACGTAATTACCACAGCTATAATCAGCTTCTAATCACAAATCAAACATTAACCTCTGACGGCGTACAGGTGAGCCTCACAGCATTAGAGAGAACAGGTGAGGTAAACTACTTAGGCCGAGGCAGGGAACATGAACTCAGTGTCTCTGGTCGTGGGAGAACCTTACTGTCCCGTTCATAACTTCACTCACGCTGTTAACTTTATTCCCGCGGCACCTCACCAAGTTTACTATGAATAACTTAAATAACAAATGTGAGCAACTTAAAGCTTTACAAAACTCTAACTCACAACTTACAATATTACCTCTTTTAAGTTACTTTAGAGCCTAGAGTAACATCATAGAAGACCATATTTTCTGTGTATACATAGAGTGTATCAGGTTATTCTTAACTACTAACCCACACACATCTTGTTCAGGTGATAAATAATGACTAATGACTCGAATAACATCAATAAACATCGCACAGAACATCATCCGAACGTCGATGTCTTAGATTAAATATCGACTTTTTCTGACTAATTCCTGAAAATATGGTGACTTTACGTTATACTGCCATAAGCTGTAGTTCATGTATTATATAGCAGTCATGAGGAACAGTATCTAGTGTGTGTGTGTGTGTGTGTGTGTGTGTGTGTGTGTGTTTATGACCTTTGAGGCGTGGATTATAACTCCCAGGAGAACAATTTTCTTGACATTGTCTTCGTTACTAATATAAGCTTTTTTAATATGCTAATGACACTAATACCAGGTAGTAGTCACAGTGTCTCGTGTAACTCTGAACTGGGACTCGATTTCTTGCTTAAGCAGTTAGGGAAGGGACTCAATCTTTTACTGAATTATTCCTGTACTGGGGTTGTGGTTCTCGCATTCTTGTTAAACCTCTCCTCTGTCTTGAACCGGTTTAGCATAATGACTCCCCACCATCAGGAACATCTGTTTATAAATTTATGTAAGTATTATTTTCTGAAGCGGTAATGTTAAGTTAGGAAGGTTCATATCTTTTGATGTCAAAATGGCGACCTGTAACATCAAAGAAAATGGGATTGTTTTGGGTCAAATTATTGGTCAATCAACGCTCAGCTGACGTCTGCCCACCAGCTGCCTGACCACTTCACTTTGTGTGTGTTTTAATGCCTGCTGCTGGGAACGGAGGGCGTTGTATATATACGCCTCTGGTGACTGTGAAGCGTTCAGTAAGAGGTCTTCATGATCATATTAAACAATAGACACAGGAGCCACGGTCACAAGTTTACTGTTATACATGAGGTGAGTTGAGTCGCAAATATTTCGAATAAGTCGACACTCGCTCTAAAACTATTGAGAAATGAGAGAGAGAAAAATTTCGTCAATCATATAAAAAAAAGTTGATAATTCATACCAACACTTCATGCAGAGGAGATTTAGAAGAGAATAAAATAACTAAAACAATTTTGTGCTGAATACTAGATGTTGTGTGAGTTATGTGCAGATAGTCTATGAGGGGGAGTGACATATTGAGGGTAAAGAAATGCTGTTATTATGATGAATTCGAGGGTTGGTTACTCTCTCTCTCTCTCTCTACCTCCCTACAGAACAGTACTAACAACCACCACAAGCCACTGCAGTACCTAAAAGATGCTTACCTACTGCTACCTCACCTAACTACAAACCACTTCCTTGATATTAAGAAGGTAAATGTTATTATTATTTAACTATATATTGGTTCTAAGATAATCTACTGTCTCCCTAATGCTATATATATATATTATCGTCCAGAGAGTTGAGGGGCCTCTGGGGTAAAGTTCCAACAGATCCAGTGGCTTTAACCTTGTACAGTAGCGACCTCAAGGTAACACTCTTATTGGTAGTGTTGGACAAGTGTTTGGTTTAGCTTTTAATGGGAGGTCCTCTGTAGCCTCATTCTAGCCACTCGTCTGATCATCTACCATCTAGCTATTCTCGTTTACATACTAACGCGACCCGCGGCCATGATCAACCTCTTGAATCTGTGAAGAAACCCATAAGGACCTCAGTTTAATAATGACTTTTTATTGTAAGGAACTCAAAGTTTTAGTCTCTGAACTTTACTAATTATCAAAAAAAAAAACACTGGAAAATCACCATAATTATGAGTTAAGTCTTTTAAGTTTACTAATTAATTAACTTCATCTCTATTGCAGCTTCTTTAACTTCGTCTTTTAGTCTTGAAACAATACCCGGGAGACGGCCATTGTTTTATCACCTCTACAGTGGTACAATATAATAATAAACAGATGCACTAATACTTTAACTAATCCTCTATGTGTATTAACTCCCCAAGTCTGTAGTGTTTTTAAAAAGTCTGAAAATCACTTCGTAAACAATGGGTAAGTCTCCCGCTCCGTGTGTGTGTGTGTGTGTGTGTGTGTGTGTGTGTGTGTGTGAGAGAAAGAGGAACAAGACTAGGGGAGCCTAAGAACAATAATTTAGAAGAGGAGTCTTGAGGCTCTACATGTTCAGGGAGAGATTATGTAAAGGAGTGTTTATTCCACTTCTAACATGTCAATGAATGTGAGACTCAGATGTGACAGTGAGAGAGAGTGAGCTTGAGAAACATTAAGACACTTTGGAGAATTAACAGAATACGATATGAAAAAAAAACGAGAAGAAAATATTGGAATCAAGATGTGGTAACAGGACACTAACATGAAGGAAATAACAGGTGAGAAACAGGTAAGAATGATTTATAACAGCAAGAACAAAGAATAACAGGTGAGAAACAGGTAAGAATGATTTATAACAGCAAGAACAAAGAATAACAGGTGAGAAACAGGTAAGAATGATTTATAACAGCAAGAACAATGAACAAAGAATAACAGGTGAGAAACAGGTAAGAATGATTTATAACAGCAAGAACAAAGAATAACAGGTGAGAAACAGGTAAGAATGATTTATAACAGCAAGAACAAAGAATAACAGGTGAGAAACAGGTAAGAATGATTTATAACAGCAAGAACAAAGAATAACAGGTGAGAAACAGGTAAGAATGATTTATAACAGCAAGAACAAAGAATGAGGAACAAATAAACAGATTATATAGAAACATTTGATGAGGTTTAGTAGTATAGGAGTTACGTTACATCATGCTATTGAAGAATGACTCCACAGTATGGACATATAGTCTTTTTGTATAGTGTCTGTGTGTGGATATTTCTACATGTTAACTTAGCCAAACTTTTGTGTCACTTTTTAAATAATTCTATCACATCTTTCTCTTATCACATCTTTCTCCTATCACCTCTCTCTCTCCTATCACCTCTCTCTCTCCTATTACCCTGTGATCTCTCTACCTCCTTGATCTACACGACACAGAAGCAAGAAAAAAGAATCAATGTAAAACAGATGCACAAGACATATCAGTTTTCAATAATGGACAATAATCATTAAGCAATATCAATCTTTGCACAGGACAATAACAGTGCAGATGAAATTATACTAAAACAAAACCCTAAAAGAACAGCAAAAAACCAAAAGTGAAATAGATAAATAGATAAATAGATAAATAAAAGAATGTCGTGGCGATAACGGAACATTACCTGACTTTGAGGGCCAGAGGTCGAGGAGGAACTTGAGAATACTAATAGGCTGGTGGAAATCCATCGGGTCCTCCCCCTCGCTCTGCAACATCAGCACCGGACCAAAACAGATGGCCAAGTTCTGTGTGGTCATCTTGTTGCGCTCGGATTGGCTGGCCACAAGACGTAGGTGATCCATCAGAAGGAACAGCGTCATCTGAGAAGTCTACCCATTATTACGTATTACAGAAACTGATTTAAGTGAGAAATATATCGAATCCGGGTACCAAAATGTATTGATACTACAGTAATTAGATATAAATCAATTCATATTTATATAAAAAAAATTGGTATCATATAAGATTATGTATTATAGCAAGTTAAAAATATATAATTACTGTATCTAATTTCATGATACAACAATTATTAGATGTATACCAATTTATCTTTGCATATAATTGGTATTAAATATATTTATAAATCAAATTAAATATATTACTGAAAATATTATAGTTGTTAATATTTATACATTTATATTTCAATATTTTTTATAAGCATGATTTAAAGTGATAGGAAAATATAGAATAGACTAACTAGGCATTCAGGTACTAAAAGGATGATATTACACTAAAATACGAATGATAAGAGACAGAAAGAGATAGAGAGATAGAGATAGAGAGATAGAGATAGAGATAGAGAGATAGAGATAGAGAGATAGAGAGATAGAGATAATAAGATACTGGAAAGATTATCTCACTCTTAGAATTAACTAAACAAATCACTTCATTTAACTAAGTTATATATTAATGCGAAATATATATACAAACTATGAATATAAACAAGAGCTAATGTAAACAAAAGCTAATATAAACAAAAGCTAATATAAACAACAGCTATAAACAATCAGTAGCATTTAATCAATAAGACAGAAAAATGAGGAATATTCGATACACATTATAAAGCATCAAATACTCCTCCTAGTAGATTATAAACAATGTAACACCATCTAGCTGTTCATTCCTCTTATTGTATCTCCTCCCGCTCACCAGATGTCTCTCCTTATTAACTCTACTTGATGAAATATGACGAAAATCTTCACTTCTCTTTGTCCTCTCATGAAAACCATTTGTATTCTGTGTTCCTACTCTGATACAGTCGTTTCCATCAGCCATTTAAGTTCTTCCTTCATCTCATTACACTCGTTGAGGCTAGACACGAGGGGGGGTGGGGGGGAAGTGAGGCGACCAGACACAGTGTTGAATGTGGGGATGAGTGTGGGTAATCTGGGGCTGAGTGTGGGTAATCTGGGGCTGAGTGTGGGTAATCTGGGGCTGAGTGTGGGTAATCTGGGGCTGAGTGTGGGTAATCTGGGACTGATCTGGGGCTGAGTGTGGGTAATATGGGGCTGGTGTGGGTAATCTGGGGTTGGTGTGTGGGTAATCTGGGGCTGAGTGTGGATAATCTGGGGCTGAGTGTGGGTAATCTGGGGGTGTAATCTGGGGTTGAGTGTGGGTAATCTGGGGCTGAGTGTGGGTAATCTGTGGCTGAGTGTAGGTAATCTGGGCTGAGTGTGGGTAATCTGGGGCTGAGTGCGGGTAATCTGGGGCTGAGTGTGGGTAATCAGAGACTGAGTGTGGATAATCTGGGGCTGAGTGTGGGTAATCTGGGGTTGAGTGTGGATAATCTGGGACTGAGTGTAGGTAATCTGGGGTTGAGTGTGGATAATCTGGGGCTGAGTGTGGGTAATCTGGGGCTGAGTGTGGGTTTTTCACTACCAGCCAACAACTATATACTGTTCACGCCAGAGTTATGTTTTAATACTAACTTCTACTCACATTTCCTACGATAAAATGGACTACAAACCACTAATACTGTATTGTTATTACGGCTTCAGGCATTCAGTAAACTAGTTAATAAAAGTTGTTCATCTACTTTCAAACGAGTCACTAAGATCTTTCATGTTTAAGAGACCACAAGATAAATGAAAGATTACACTAAGAACTAAATTGTCCAGGTCACTATACCTTACGAGCCACTGTAACTGTCTCCTGGTACAGTGGTGTGAGGCCGCCACGAGGAGGGAGGATGTGGCGTGATTGTTGACCTTTTGAGCGGTCCACCGAAGTACTTATGGTACTTCCCATTACAGATTTTAACTTACACTTTACATGGCCACACAGACCACAGGTAGCCACACAGATCATACATGGGCATAGACCACACGTGGCCACATAGACCAGGTATTCGAGGCGGTCTGTTCTGTATCTATGTTTTTGACTTACTCCGTTGACGTTTCAGAACAGATGACCAAATACCCACAAGATCTTTGACTCCGTAAAAGAGCGGCAACTTTACTGTTGTCCCTGAGTCATTGAGGCAATATATCCAACTGACCTTAAATTGAATGTAGTCATTGACACAGTTGACCTTGGGTCGAAGACGTCACCTCATTGGTTATGGATCGAAATGAAAACCTCACTTAACCTCATTTAACACCATAAAACAGGTCACTTACCCAATTGACCTTGGGTCGAGGAAGTGACTTACCCGGTTAACTTTGGGGAGGCAGTCGAGGATGGAGAACATGAGCTTGGCGTTGCCCTGCGGGTCGTCAGGTAACATCACCGTCAGGGCGTCCACCAACATCTGGTACAGACACTTGGTGAACAGTGGCTCAGGAAGCTCACGTAGATAGTCCTTCAGGATGCCTGCAAGAGGATTAGGGGCGTCACTCCTCTGTCACAGTGTTGGTAAGTGTCACGTAAAGTACACTGTATTCTAAGACAAAGTACAGCATATACTGAGGCAGAGTACAATACATACTAGAGTGTTATGTACTATTAAAGCAGAGTACAATACAAACTAGGGTGCTATGTACTATTGAAGCAGAGTACAATACATACTAGGGTGTTATGTACAACTGATGCAGAGTACATAACACTGGGTAATTAAACTGAAATCCCATTCTATGGTTGATGGGTGAAGATCAGTGGCCGTACTTTACAGCACACACACACACACCTTATGGCAGTACCTGACTGGGCACATTGAAACAGCAGCCAAATTCCGCTTAAAACAGCTACTCACATTTATCTGACTCCGAAGACTATTAATTGATATAGTGGTTGTATCTTCCTGTTAAAGTGGATTAAGACCCTCTACACAAACTCTCCCAAAGAAAACAAGAACTTCAAGACCTGCATGTTACTTCTTTATTAAAGTTTATAACAAGGCGGGACAGATCTATACTTTCGGCTGCTGCCTGAATGTGATAAGTTGGGTTCAGTCATATGCTGAGAGTCGTGAACTTTAGGGTCATAATATAGTTAACCTCTCACACTGGGGCCACACCTGCCCCGCCACCTCTCCTGCCTCGTATTTAGTCCCCATAATATTTATAAGACATTTTGTCTAAGTTCCACAATTAAATTATTGTGGAAAAATACCAAGTTTTTCTGAAAATAAAAATAAAAACTTTCATGTCCTCAAGTATACATTATATACACTGTTAACCTAAATAATTAATATTCACTGTTAGTGATGCAGATTACAACATAAGAGCACGAGGGGTGAGATTTGCTCAACAGACCAGAATTCTAGAGGGTTAAGATGATGAGCTGTGACAGAGTAAAATGAAACAATTATTTTCCAACAGGTAAAGATAATAGTGTTTTAAGAATGTCTCTACAATATAGTTTGTTTAAAGATACTTCAAAGATTTTCATGGTCAAGATTTTTCTGTTCTGAGGAAAGACTTTATGTACATCAGCTGACTATTCTCATTTAAGCAAAACTGTGTTAAATTGTTGTATTACACTATAGCATATAGTGGTAACTCACCCGTGATGACGTTGATGTCAGGGACGTTGTCAGACGAGAGGTCCACTAGCCTGGGGTTCCTCTCAAAGGCATCTCTGAGGAGGCGCTTCTTCGTGGCAGACCCACAGAGGCGATACAGCCCTATAATGTCCAGACCACGTCGCTCAACCTCAGCCACACAGCGCGCTATAATTAGAGGCACTGTGCCTCCGCCACTCTCACGGTTTGACACTGAATCCAAGTCCAAGCCAAAGAGCGCGTTTTTGCGCACGCCAGGTGTCCGTAGGAAGGCCTGGCGAGGCGGAGTGTAGCGCAGCTTGAGGTACAACGTGCCACGCGGCTCTATCTTTAGTGCTAGTTGATGCAGCGGCGATTCTTTAAGCAAACTCACTAGATGTACCGAACCTTTATAACATAGTTTATGCCTAAATTGTGGATCCCACGAATATATCAAAAAGTCTAATTCTTTGTTGTTGATAAGGTCGAGATCAAAGGTCTCGTCCCAGTCAAAGTTGAGGTCTCCGGTCCTGACAACAGTGCGGGCCTTGTGCACGCGGTCACACTCCAGCACACAGTACAGGTCACGGAACTCAGAGCGTCCTGCAGCCTTCAGCCCACGGCCGGCCAGCAGGTGCACCCACAGCATGCCCGACACCCCCTCCGTCACGCCGCCCATGTTCCCCACGCCTACTTTGTACTTCAGGAACTCTGCAAAGGAGAAATTTTATCACTGCACTTATACACCAAGAAAAACTCAACTACATAAACAATGCCGATGTGCGAAATGACCACAAACACACGTGAGGCGAGGACGTGTACTGGGGATGTGTACTATTACATATGGTTATGTATTTACATACCGTTAATATACTAAGATGTGTGCCGGATGTTCTTATATATCAGTCACCGTTGTAAGAGAGGTTTGGTTTTCTATGAAAGATGTAAAAGATGTATGTCCTTTGAAATTAGTTTATTCTGTGTATTAATGTGAATTATATTGGTTCAATGTAATTTCTAATATTTTTCAATCATATAATATTATGTACTTATACAATACTTATACAGAGAAGTTTTGAATTAATATTTTAATTGGTGAAGATGTATTGTTGTTCACCAGGGAGACGCTCGCTCCTCCACGGTGGAATACAGGGTGTAGATGTTGGGTCAGGATAGTGACTGTAATCTTTTTCATTCATTGTATATCCTGCATTTTGTTATTAATTTATTCACTAGCATTTAGGGTGAATTCTAAATGATACTTCTGTGAATGGAGGAAGAGCCTTATTGTGAGATTAAAATAGATAATTTACTAAATCAGATGAGCCACAAGGCCATGCAGTGTCACTGTCTGTACTCTTTGTTTTATTGAGACTACAGTAGTACAGTAGTTAATTGTTATAAATTAGTATTTCTCAGTCCTGCCTCAATTTGCACAGTATAAAGAATAGTTTTCCTTGGATGTTTTCCCACTGTGCTTGTATTAAATGTCACCTTCAACTGTCAGCCAGAGGTAGCAAGGAGTGTCTACATGTCCTGGTCTGTTAACCACAGCCGTTATTTCAGAACGTGAGTCTGATTAATGGGCCTAGGAGTTGGAACACTGCTGAAAGAGGAAAGTTATTCAGTAATGATCGTGAGGAGGAAGCTGTCAAGAGCTATGCCACTATAACAAAAGGTTCCCTTAGTGACGGCCATCATCGATATTCATATAGTTAACGAATGTAGCTAAAAATCTGTTCTTGGATAATGTCAATACTGAGTCAGAGGTAGACCAGCTGACGCCCTGTGAGGTAACATTTACCTGCTGCTGTGAACAGGTGAGTCACTACTAGAACAAGAGTGATCATCACAGTGAGTGAAATAGTAATTACTACTCATCTGTCGACTGTGTTAATACTCACTCAACTTTTATAACATTCAAAACAGTCTTATATTAAGTTGTTTTGCACACACACACACACACACACACACACACACACACACACACACACACACACACACACACACACACACACACACACACACACACACACACGCACACACACACACGCACACACACACACACACACACACACACACACACACACACACACACACACACACACACACACACACACACACACACACACACACACACACACACTTTGTCAAAGATAACCAATTTTTATCTTTATACAATTAATTTGTTGATATGAGTTTGGTTAAGGCAAAACTTGTCCCGTTGCATTTAAGGCGACGTTTACCATTATAACTTAACCAAACTATACCCAAATTAGGTCAGGTTAGTTCAGGTTAGTTAGGTCAGTAATGATGTTATTCATATGTAGTTGGTATTGGGATTATCTATATGACCGTCCTTGCATACAGACCAGTGTGAAGAATGATAAACAAACATTCAAACTTGGGACAAAAATGGATGTTATATAAATGATCGTTCTTCCTCGATTATCTCATATTTTAAGAGACTATAAACCTGGGCAGACGACATCAACGCTGTCGTCAGAAACAACTTACATTATAAGATAACAAAGGTGAAATTAAAGTAGACTGATTTGTACACCTTGCAAAAAAAAAATACTTGTATCAATAATATATCGTGTGTGTGTGTGTGTGTGTGTGTATGTGTGTAGAGAGGACTGACCTGCAGGGTTGATGTCGATGAGCCTGAGGGCGGGTCTACCACGGGTGGGTGATGGATGTGGCACGCCCCTCGCCTCCTCTAGGGCCGCCCTCACTCGCCTTGACGGTGGTTCTAGTCGACTCAGCTGCCGGGACGAACTGCCTACTGTTCCTGCCCCGAGGTGTAACCGCTGCATATAGTACGGTGCCTCCTGTAAGGTGATCATGACTTACTAATGTGTGTCATGGGGTCTCAGGTGGTGTCATGGGGTACTAAGGGGTGTCATGGGGGACTAAGGGGGTGTCATGGGGTACTAAGGGGTGTCATGGGGTACTAAAAAGTGTCATGAGGTACTAAAAGGTGTCATGCGGTACTAAGGGGGTGTCATGGGGTACTCAGGGGTGTCATGGGGTACTCAGGGGTGTCATGGGGGTACTAAAAGGTGTCATCAAGAGGAACTAGGGTGACGCAAGTACCAGGTGCATGAAGGAGTAATATGGTGATACTGAGTACAAAGGCGTCTGGGAAGAACTAGGCGTGACACAGGTTAATTAGGGTGTTGAGGAGGTAGCGAAGGTGTCATATATGGCGGGGTAATCACAGAAGCACTAGAGGTGTCATATATGGCGGGGTAATCACAGAAGCACTAGAGGTGTCATATATGGCGGGGTAATCACAGAAGCACTAGAGGTGTCATATAAGTTCTATAAATGTTAAGAATATCGTCTGGCAGTGTCGCAAAATACGTGTGTTATTGATCTACTTGAGTGGTGCAGGTACTAGGAGGTACTAATGGATCGCCAGGTACAGTACAAAGGCAGATAGAGACAAAGGAGAATAACAAAGGATAAAAATGTAGTTAGTAGTAAAGTTATAGATATAGAGAACAAAGGTAAAGCACACACAACATAACATAATATACATATATATACATATTTACGGTGCATATATGTGTATTTATAACGTTGTAGTGGTAAAATTAAACCTTTGTCTGTTACAATAGCACCATCGGTATGCAACACGTCATTATGTTCACCACAATAGAACTTCCAGATGTTAATAAAAGCATAATTTACTATAAATCCCACAACAAAACAAAGGTTTTGTACGTGGCCAGGGTACGAATCACTCTTTGTACCCTATTTACTAACCTGCGCTGTTAAATTTCGGTATTACACGATTTATAACTGTTTTTTTATATGATACCTGAGATAAAACACTATCTAAGTCACTTTTCTGTTTTCAAAAGGTTAAAATGTGGAGTAAAACTGGAGGTAACTCACGTCTCTGGTCTTCTCGGTGAGGTTCTCAGCGCTGTAGGTGAATCTGAGGCCTCCACGCTGGGTGCGGAGGGTCTCGTGTGACTGTCGTATCCGCTCATAGATGGCGCTGGTGGAGGGAGCCCGACTCATCCAGGCGCGGTACTCGTCAGACGTGAAGATGGATGGTGAGGAGGGCAGGCGCGCTGCAAGTACACCTCCTCTGTATTAACTCCACTACCACCTCCACTACCTCTTCACCTACTGTAGAGGCTGCGTTCTACTACGACTTTATTTATTTGTGAGTGACTCTTATTTGTGGGAAAACAAGTACAACAACACAAACTGGACTGACTCTTTATACAGGTAAGTTTCAAAATTCTTTATCTTGATTACTTGAACCAACAAGAATGTGAATGAATATAACCATACAACCAGAGTGCTTTAAATTATAACTGATCAACAGGATTATTTTCCCACTTTATTATTATTATTTTATACAACTTCTGGTGATTTAAAACAAAAGTGAAGTTTACGTTAAGTGAAAAAGTTGCTCTCTGGCGAGGAAAAATCTCAGGACGTTGTTTACTTTCTTAAGGAAGTTAGAGACACTGAGGAGGACGTATGACTTCTTATGGGAAGGGGTCAAATGGGGTCAAAAGGGGTCAAAATGGGTTAAAAGGGGTCAAATTGGGTCAAATGGGGTCAGGTGAAGAAAGATTAAGATAAAGTAATATTAACATTAGAATAAACACAAATATTTTAACAATAACATAAACCAGAGGAAAGATAATATGGCTGTCATGTGTCATACAGCCGTTCATGCTCCACCTGTATCACCATGTATCACCACCTGTATCACCATGTATCACCACCTGTATCACCACCTGTATCATCACCTGTATCACCACCTGTATCTCCATGTATCATCACCTGTATCACTATGTATCACCACCTGTATCACCATGTATCACCACCTGTATCACCACCTGTATCACCACCTGTATCACCACCTGTCATCACCTGTATCACCACCACCATGTATCACCACCTGTATCACCATGTATCACCACCTATATCACCCACACCACCTGTATCACCTGTATCACCACCTGTATCACCACCTGTATCATCACCTGTATCACACCTGTATCACCACACATCACCACCTGTCACCACCATGTTGTATCACCACCCTGTATCACCACCTGTATCACCACTGTATCACCACACCTGTATCACCATGTATCACCACCTGTATCACCATGTGTCACCACCTTTATCACCATGTATCACCACCTGTATCACCACCTGTATCACCACCTGTATCACCACCTGTATCACCATGTATCACCACCTGTATCACCATGTATCACCACCTGTACCTTTATTTATCCTCACTTGCAGTTCCGCGCAACACACACACACACACACACACACACACACACACACACACACACACACACACACACGTACGTTCATGGATTGCACACACGTCATAAACCACAAACACACACATTCACGGACACATGCGTTCAAGACACACACGATCCTGAACCACAAACACACGTTCATAGACACACGTTTACAGACACCACACGTTCACGAACACACATACCTTCACGGACAAACACACATTCACGCTCACACACACGTTCATGGACACACGCTTACGGACATAAGTTCACAGATACTAACGTTAATAGACACACCGTACACACACACACACACACACGTTCGTAAAACAACTATCTATCACTTGACCTCCCTTGTGTACACTCCTCACTCTGTGTACGCAAGGTATGTACCTAGTTCTTATAACTGAACTATCCCAGTCCTAGATATTTTGGGTTCGAATCTTTATCCGAGCACGTTAGAGTAAGGGTTCGAGAGTCTATCTGGGTACACTGATGTCAGGGTTCGAGAGTCTATCTGGGTACACTGGTGTCAGGGTTCGAGAGTCTATCTGGGTACACTGTATTGAAGTAAGGATTCGTCTTTTAATGCGAGAAATTTTCAGTAAGGGTTCGAATTCATTTCTGGTTATATTATAAACAGTGTGAATGTCCTTTATGTTTCATTTTCTTCAATTGACTGAAATATCCCCAGAATAGAGTTGAACCCTTACTGTAAAAAAACAAAACCTGGATTCGAAGTATGGGATTTCTCGAACCCTTAGACTGGGATTCGAACACTTAAACCGGAAATCGGACTCTCATGAAAACATACCCAGACAGGTAATCGAATCCTTACCAAAATACCTTCTCGCAGGGTCGTGGCTTCACATGCCGTTCAATAATACTGGGAAAGTCACCGAACAATCACCACTTGTCATTCAGCTGAGGCAACTGTCATGCATAGCCATTATACAGTCCTGTGTTTAGCTTCATGACCTCAGATTCTCAAAGATTCTTACGTCAAATTTCTCTCATAACTGGAGATACGAGAACTTTAACTAACTCCTTTCACCTATACCACAAAGACTCGCAAGCTGCTGAAATTATACCGAGACTCAAGATGTGATTAATTGTGTTGTCTGATCTATAGTTTAAGGGAAGACATTTAACTTACGAGGTCTTTAAGAATCAGGAGATCTTTGTTTATCAGAGCAGCAGCGTCAGAATGTCTCATTACCGACCAGGAGAATTCATGACAGCACTTAATGGTAAATATAACACGTGATAACACTTACTGGCAGATATATGATAGCACTTAATGACAGATATACCACTTGATGACAGATACAATCAAAACATGACAGTATTTAAAAATGACAGATATGACACATGACATAAGATAGCATGAGATAAGGAGGAGGTAAGGGCACATAAGGACCTGTCGCTAGATACGGGACCCAGAGCGTGAAAAAGTCTACGGTCGCAGCCAGCCACGTTTCACTTACTCGCGCTAAAAAAAATATATATAAAAAATATCATACAGTTAGCTCCCAAGATACATTCCCAAGACAATGAACTCAGTATAAAGGTCTGTCTCCTCCGGGGCAGCCAAGACCTTCACTAGTGTTGTTATGAGACGTGAAGATAAGAAATAGGACACGATTATGGGTTACTAACAGCTGATATACGACTCAAAATAAGTAAAACAAAAACATATCAAAACTCTCTATAGCCACATATAATCAAATCAATATTGAGTCTGTCGATTTTGTTTTCATTCCAGGTTATGTGTCTAATTTCTTATAATCACCTCTTATATAATATTGAAAAACAAAAGAAGGCTGCCATGTGTCTAAATAGATATAGCACCGCCTTGTATAAAATAAACATATAATATTTTATAGATATAGTGTGTGTGTGTGTCACTGCCGGGGATCATGCACTGTTGTATTGAAGAAAAATACAAGAAAAATATCCCAGGGCTGTTGTTCATATCGTCTAGTATCAACTGGGAGGTTCACTGACACACTGAAATTATCCACGGCGGGTCCTTGTACCTCGGGTCTGGGGATATATTATATATTACGTGTTGAAATACTGTTATCCTCCACTCTGTACTCCACAGTAGCGTACAGGAGCCGAATTACTGTGAATTTTGTTCCGTGTGGCCATGTCTATCAGGTGTGGCCGTAAGATTGTTTGTGGCCAAGACTATGAGGATTGGCCATGTTTATTCCACAGGATTACATAGTTGCTAGATGTATGCCTCTTACTGGTCGTGCCAGGGAGGTTGTGACGTAAATAGGACAGTAATGACGGGTTTGGTTTGGGTGAGTTTCATACGTTTTTGGTGTGTGTGTGTATGTTGTGTGTGTGTGTGTGTGTGTGTGTGTGTGTGTGTTTACTCTTACGTATCTAGATATCTTAAACAATATGCTTATATACTCTGATGTATGCATGTATGTGTGTATACTATTGTCCTGTTGTTATAACTGTGAATATCTGAAGAAAAAAATTCCCACTAAATTACAAGGGGTGAGGCAGTAGATCACCTGTGTCGTGTTATTCTTGACGTTAACATTGTGTCAAATCTTTGCTATCAGTGTCTGGGAGATAATCTTGAACATTAGTTAATATCATGTGTAAATTTATCAATAACCAACGATCGAAAATGTGTCCCAAGAAGAGAAAGGATTAATGTCCACGTCACAGAAGTTAAGGAGTTATAGAGGAATAATTTTGTAGGTTAATGAACTTTACGACGAAAAGTGACCTTGATAGTTCTAAGAGAGAGATAATTAAATTAAGAGTGAGATTCCCAGTATTTGGTTGATCGTAGGTAGCGTAGACACACACACACACACACACACACACACACACACACACACACACACACACACACACACTGAAGAGACTGTAAATAATAATAATGTTAATGACAAAGTTGTATTCGATATCTAATTTGCATTATTCAAGTTATCGTGTTTATAAGATACTCGGATGGACAAACGTACGGACACATTCAAACCACTAGGTCCCCCGTTTCCAGCGTAACATGGGACGAGAAATAGGGTAAGGAGAGCTGCGTCTGTCAGGCTGAACGTGAACAAGGAATCAAAATATCAGTCTGAGACAGCATTACACATTCCGACCTCATACGAAAACTATGTACCGACTTGTGTTCAATTCCTGGGTGGTGGAGGAAGAGGAGGCTGATACAACGCCACACACATGTTAACTCTGCTGCTGCTGTCATGAAGAGACACATCTTATCCCTGCTGTTGCCACTTTCTGCTCCACTTTAACAATAAATATAACAAACTATACCCCTAAAAAATAGTAACATATTATATTTTACAGCATATTTTACTGTTAGGACTCTGTTCATGTATTCGGAACTCCATCAAAACGAACCAGTTAGCTTCGACATGATGTAGTTATCTTAGAAATCTATACCTGAACATTTAGGACCCTAGGCTATCAAGGTGAGAATTAACGTGGGTCCCATAAGCAAGGTGGGGGTACTAGACTGTTCGCTAAGCCTTTGATGCACAGTGAGGCCATGTGACTGGTACTGCGCTTAACTGACTTTACTTCTCATTTAATGTCGGGTATAAATTGGGGAGGAAGGGCAGACCAGACCAGACCAGACCAGACCAGACCAGACCAGCTGTAGAGGGTAGTGACGGCTACTATGTGTACTGAAAGTTTGGATCAGTATACGAGATGCAGTTTCACTTTACATACATATTTAATGTTAAATTCTTAAAGATTACTAGAATGTTTTTATTTACCAGACCCAGGAAACA